GGAGAGAGGGAGAGAGGGAGAGAGGGAGGGAGGGAGGGAGAGAGGGAGCAAGGAAGGAAGAAAAAAAATTTTAAAAACTCAATTGCAAAAACACAAATGACCCAAATGGACAGAGGATCTGAATACACATTTCTCAAGACACACAAATGGCCAATAGATACAGGAAAAAATTCTTGCCACTGGGGCCAGTCTGTGGCATAGAGGGTTAAGCTTCTACCTGGGATGCCAACATCCTATATGGGTGCCTACAGAGACCTGGCTACTCCACTTCTGATTCATCTACCTGCTAGTGTGCCTGGTAAGTCAGCAGAAGATGGCAAAGTGCTTGGGCCACTGCACCCATATGGGAGATCCAGAAGAAGCTCCTGGCTCCTGGTTTTTGCCTGGCCCAGCTTTGACTGTTGTGACTATTTTGGGAGTGAACCAGCAGATGGAAGATCTCACTCTGTCTCTCCTCCTCTCTTTGTAACTTGGCCTTTCAAATAAATAAACAAATCTTAAAAAAATAAAATGCTTGCCATAATGAATCATTAGGTAAAAGCAAACTAAAACCATAATGACATTATCACCTCATACCTGTTAGAATGTCTGTTACCAAAAAGATAAACATTGACAAGGATTCTGAGAAAAGTAAACACTTGCACACATTTGGATGGAAATGTAAATTAGTACAGCCATTATGAAAATGTATGGAAGTTCTTGAAAAACGAAATCTAAAATTCCAGTATGATCCAGCAACCCTACTTTTGGATCTATATCCTAAGGACATGACAGCAGATTGTCCAAGCAATATCTACACTCCCATATCTGTTGCAGCATTACTTAGAATAGTCAAGCTATGGATCATCCCAGGTATCCTCTAATGGATGAATAGATAAAGGAAATGCAGCATATACTCACATTCATAAGGGAATACTCTTACATCTTTAAAAAGAAGGCAATTCTGTCATTTGGAACAACAAGAATGAACCTGGAGGACATTATGCTAAGTGAAATAAGTCAGGCACAGGAAGACAAATACACGTCATCACTTATAAGTGGAATGTAAAACAACTGAACTCCTAGAAGCAGAGTGGAATGGTGGTCATCAGAAGCTGGGGGATTGGGGAGAAGGAGATGTTGGTGAATGGGTACAAAGCTGTAGTTAGGAGGAGTAAATAATAAGGATTTGAGGTGAAGACTACATTAATTATGTTGATTCAATCATCCTACATTAAATATATATCATAGCATTGTTTTGTACCCCATAATTATATACAATTATAATTTTTCAAGATAAATAAAAATATAAGTTTTAGAAAGTATTTTCCATTTTTATAAAACTTAAAAACATGAAGAACAATATATTTGGGAATATAGATACATCTAATTAAAGTATAAAATAGAACTGTATGGGAAGAATTGATACAAAATTGAGGATGTGACTTCCTAGGCAGGAGGGATTGAGATCAAGGAAGGTAACACAGAGCTTACCTACAGATATTATGCTTAGTTCTTTTTTTTTTTCTTTTTTAAAGATTTATTTATTTATTTGGAAGGCAGAGTTACAGAGAAGGGGAGACAGAGGGGGCAGGGGAAAGAGATCTTTCATCTGCTAGTTCACTCCCCAAATGGCCACAATGGCCAGGGCAGGGTGAAGTCAACACCAGGAGCCTGGAACTCGATCCAGGTCTCCCACATAGGGGCAGGGACCCAAGGACTTGGGCCATTTTCTGCTGCTTTCCCAGGCACACAGGCAGGGAGCTGGATCAGAAGTGGAGTAGTCAGTTCTTGGGATGCTGGCATTGTGGACTGTGGCTTAAGCTGCTGTACCACAACACTGGCCCCAATGCTTCGTTCTTCTTCTTCTTTTTTTTTTTTTAAAGATTTATTTATTTATTTGAAAGACAGAGTTACAGAGAGAGAGGGGAGGCAGAGAGAGAGAGAGGTCTTCCATCCACTGATTCACTCTCCAGTTGGCCACAACGGCCGGAGCTGCACTGATCTGAAGCCAGGAGCCAGGAGCTTCTTCTGGGTCTCCCACCTGGGTGCAGGGGCCCAAGGACTTGGGCCATCTTCTACTGCTTTCCCAAGCCATAGCAGAGAGCTGGATCGAAGGAGGAGCAGCTGGGACTAGAACCGGCGTCCATATGGGATGCTGGTGCTTCAGGTCAGGGCGTTAACCCACTGCGCCACAGCGCCGGCCCCTTAAGGTGAGTGATGGGTATTCTTTATTATTTGTTCTTTGGAATGGCATAGGTGGCTTAAGTAACATTACATGCTTATTATTCAGAAACATGGAAGGAAAGGAAAAGGGAACTGGGCAGTGAATGAAAATGCAGGGAACTTCTTAAATTTAAACCTCGTATTTTTAAACTATACATTTTTACTACTGTAATAAAAGTCAACAGTGTAAAAATAAAGTTTGAGCTGAGGAATAATTTGTGATACGCTTCTCAAAAATCTCCATGTTTAGATGCCTTATCTCCATGCTTTTCAAAACAAGGTCTTTGGACAAGAGTGGGTTGCTTGTGTGGTCTGCTATGAACTAAATACAGAATTCAGTCTAAGTCTTTGGGAAATTTTACTGTAATCTTAAAATGATTTTATGTGAGTTAAATCTAATAATTTAAAAATGGGACTTGTATTTTATATAATTTCATTTTTTCTAGAAATAAACATCTTGATTTACAAAAGTATTAGTGTATAATGCATTGAAACATGGAAACAAAAAGTAACTGGTCCTGCACAAATAGTTTGAGATGCATTGCTCTCTATCTTACTCAAAATGGATGTCTACTGGGCTGGGGTTTTGGCATGGTGGGTTAGGCCACTAATGCAAGATCCCATATTGGAATGCTGGTTTGAGTCCTTGCTGCTCTGTTTCTACTCCAGCTTCCTGCTGACGTGCCTGGAAGGCAGTGGAAGAAGCCCACTGTGGAGACCTGCCACTCAAGTGGAGACCTGGATGGTGTTCCAGGCTCCTGGCTTCAGTTTTACCCAGCCTGGCTATTGTGGTCATTTGAGTGAACCAGCAGATGAAGGGTCTGTCTCCCCCTTTTTCTGTCATTCTGCCTTTCAAATAAATAAATAAATAAATAAATAACTTTTTATAAAAGGGTTTTTATGTTAGATTTTTTTTCTATACAGCAAAGGTTTTCTTGCTCTTTGGTGATCTTGTGTTCTACTCCTAAAATATTAATGTTATGTGGGATTCTGGAATTGTTTTGTTTGAGACATTTGCCTTGCATATATAAAGATGTGGTTTATTCTCCCTAGAGACAAATGTAAATGATTTCCTGTTGATAAAGAGCAAGTCTTTAAATTTAGAATGAAGTGGAAAGGTTGGTATGTAGAAGTGTGATAAATTGGGCTGTTTCCAAAGCAATATCTTTTTCAGTTAACTGTTAATTCACCAGTTTGTTGCTTTCATTAATCCTACCAAAATCTCCAAGTTTGTGAAAACACTGTAAACATGGTTTGAGTATTTCAGACTTTTTGCATGACAGACTTCATGCTATAAAGGAATGAAGGCTATATGTTACTAAAGCATCATCGTTGTAAGAGAACAAAACCAAATCTGATCTGATCTCCTCTCTGGCCTTGGAAGCACACCTCCTGAGAAGTTTCAGGCTGTGTGTGGCCTGCAACAGGGGCTCAAAGCTGCTGGCTTGTGGGACTGCAGGAGCCCAGTTAGCTTGGGTCTCTGCCTCCCCCATGCAGCGCCGTGGGAGTTCCTGAAGTGCCCAGACATAACTGTTTATGATTTTTGTTTCCCCAGAAGAGAAGACTCCTTAAAAAAATTTTTTTTTGAAGCCGGATTACTTACTGATTTTCAGAATCCTCTTACATCTGCCACTTCTCAAGGGAATTTTTTGGGGTATAATCTTCTAATCTTTAGGGAAAGCTAATAAAACACGGCCTGTACCTGGCCTTCTACCAGAAGCACTCAATCTCTTAATTACAGAGATATCAAACTGCCTACTTTAAGTTCCTGCTTTCTCAAGGGAGCTACCAAGCACTTGACAATGCTCTGGCCTGATTGATCCCAATCCCCCTCCAATCACAATTCTCCATACCAGCTCCCGCCTACCTAACCCATAAAGCTTCCCCAACTCCCTGGTTGGGGGAAGAGTCTGCTTCCCTGCTTCCTAAAAAGCCTTTCCGCCCTCCAAAGTCTGAGTGTCACAGATTATAATAGAGAGCAATGGGCAACAAATCTACCTCGTTCAGTAACAACGTTTTAAAATTACCTTTTGCTTTCTGGTCCTTCTGAACTCTTTCCACTGACTCCAACTGAGTGTCTCTGCTGTATTTTCTTGCTATTTATTTCATCTTTTTACAAGTCACTTTCTCTCTTTGAATTGTTACAGTACAATTAGTACTGTCTTACCACTTTGCCACTCTAGAATATTCCTCAAGCTAACGTTCTCCTTTGTTCTGTATTTCATTCTCCGGCCGTTATGAAAAGGAAAACATGAAGGGGAGTCCATAAAAACAGTCCTTCCAAGGCCTTGCACTCCCACCAGGGGTCTCAGCCTCCTCCCGGTGAATGGAGCTCGTTTGGAGGAGACTGATAGGGAGAACGTAGGCGGGGTCCGTGAGACTTGAGTTTCTAAGGCGCCAATTAGGGGTTAGGACTAAGTGGTGCAAGGAAAATTGGTGGTGGGCAAGGTTCCCCAAGAGATAAGGCGATCAAAAAACGGATTAAAGGCGAGTGGTTCACTTTGGCGGCTGCAGCGGTCATGACAAATTTAAGGATATGCAAATTCGCGCTCAGCGTCCTGTTTGGGCAACAGCGATGGCGCAGGAACCGGGGAGGTTATTCCAGACGAGTCCAGACGGTGCTGGAAAATACCCCAGCGCTCAGCACCCCTCCTCACAGCAGCTCAGGAAAAGGCAAAGTCCCGGAAGCGCGGATTGTAGGATCACGTGACACACTTCGACCTGGCCTCTAGTAGGCTGCAAAAGCTCGTTTGCTTCCGGGACTCCGTTTCCCAGAAGCCTCCTATGGAACTACATTTCCCAGAAGGCTCTGCGGCGCCCACTTTCTGGTTGCGGATTAGACGGGAACGTTATGTAGCTTGCCTGACGTCTGGAAGAACTTGCAGGCTGGAGAAGGAAGGGCGACATTTTCTCTGTTAAAACAACCTACGTGCTCCAGGTTGGACAAGCGAGCCGCGGCTCAGTTCCTGTCCTAGAGCAGAGCCGGAAGTCGGCCTCGAGGGCCTCTGGGAAATGTAGTAACGGGATGTCTCCGGGTCCCGTGGGCTTTGGTCTTCGTTGGGAAAACCAGAGTCCGGGCGGGCCTTCCGCATCGGCTCCCGGCCGTCCCCAAGGTGGCGCTGCGCATGAGCGTCTACCCGCCTTCTCGGGGATTTTCCTCCACGCCTAGATTTCTAGCAAACGCCTTTTAGATTTGCAAGTAGTGGCGAAACTACTAAAAAAGGGGAAAGAAAAAAAAAAAAAAAGCCCTCAGCTACTCCTCAGCTCTTGCGGCTCCTCGTGATTTTGAGGTTACAAAGAAGCATGGCGCCGCCCGTGTGGAGGAAGGCTTTTACCTCAGGACTTCCCGAGGCAGCGACTTCGCCCTCCTGGAGGGTCCGTGGCTGCTCTTCCAGGTGTTCTCATTTGGGCCAGCCTCCGCCTTGCCTTGTTGTTGCCGCCTTGGGGGAAACTGGCGGTGGAAGCTGCGGTTTAATGAGGGGATAATGGTGTGTGCTGGAGTCAGGGTTTGGCTACTCGGGCTGTACCAGCTACAAGTGTGAGAATTCAGTACAGTCGGAACGGATTTTTATTTAGTTATTTTAAAGAATTTATTTGTATATTTAAGAGGCAGAGTTATAGAGAGGGAGGGAGGGAGAGAGAGAAAGATGGAGAGAGAGAGAGAGTCTTCCATCCGCTGGTTCACTCTCCAAGTGGCCACAAAGGCTGGAACTGGGCTGACCCAAAGCAGGAGCAGGGAGCTTCTTCCAGGTCTCCCACATGGGTGCAGGGGCCCACACTTTGGGCCATCTTCCTCTGCTTTCCTAGGCCATCAGCAGGGAGTTGGATTGGAAACAGAGCAGCCGGGACTGGAACCGGTGCCCATATGGGATGCTGGCACCACAGAGGCTCAACCTAATGCCACAACGCTGGATGTTATGTATGTGTTTTTATATCTTTAGATGTATTGGGGTTGGCGCTGTGGCATAGCCTGCATCCTGTATGGGTGCTGGTTAGAGTCCTGGCTGCTCCACTTCTGACCCAGCTCTCTGCTTTGGCCTGGGAAAGCAGTAGAAGATGGCCCAAGTCCTTGGGCCCCTGCACCCACGTGGGAGACCCAGAAGAAGCTCCTGACTCCTGGTTTTGTGTCAGCGCAGCTCCAGCTGCTGCGGCCATCTGGGGAATGAACCAGCAGATGGAAGACCTTTCTCTCTTTCTCTCTCTCTCTCTCTGTAACTCTGACTTTCGAATAAATAAATCTTTTAAAAATTTAATTGAAAGTCAGTAGGCCGGCGCTGCGGCTCACTAGACTAATCCTCCGCCTTGCGGCAACAGCACACCGGGTTCTAGTCCCGGTTGGGGCGCCGGATTCTGTCCCAGTTGCCCCTCTTCCAGGCCAGCTCTCTGCTGTGGCCAGGGAGTGCAGTGGAGGATGGCCCAAGTGCTTGGGCCCTGCACCCCATGGGAGACCAGGAAAAGCACCTGGCTCCTGCCATCGGATCAGCGCAGTGCGCTGGCCACAGCGTGCCGGCCGTGGCGGCCATTGGAGGGTGAACCAACGGCAAAAGAAGACCTTTCTCTCTGTCTCTCTCTCTCACTGTCCACTCTGCCTGTCAAAGAAAAAAAAATAATAATAAAAAAAGAAAGTCAGTTACCCAGAGAAGGAGAGACAGAGAGAGAGGTCTGTTGGTCTTCCATCTGTTGGTTCACTCCCCAGTTGGCTGCAATGGCCAGAGCTGTGCTGACGAAAACCTTTCACTATTTACAAATGGAATGACCAATCTTCTACTGCTTTCCCAGACCATAGCAGAGAGCTGGATTGGAAGTGGAGCAGCTGGGACTCGAACCAGCAGCAATATGGAATGCCAGCACTGCAGGCAATGGCTTTACCCGCTGCACCACAGTGCCGGCCCCAGGATTTTGATTCTTAAACTTGACCTGTCCACTTTGTGGGATAGTCGTCCCCTGCACTTCCTTAGGTTAAACGGTGAGCCCCCAGACTGTTCTAATGATCTCATCCATCGAATGTTTGCCGAGATCGTGCACCCAGTGCTAGGTATTGTGCTGAGCGCTGGGGACGCAGTGTTAAATGGGGGCAGACATAACTCCATCCTCATGGAGTTTACAGTCTAATGGGGGAAGACAGATGCTGATCAGAGGATGGGAATAAGACTAAAGTTTAAGTTGTGATCAATAGAAGAAACAGTGTACTGCAAGAAGGTACTCGTGGAAGGGCCATAAATTAGATTGAGACATTAGGGGAAGGAAGAAATGCTTGATCTGAGACCTGAAGACTGAGAGAAAGGGAACTGGGACAGTCAAGAGCACAGTGGTCTACACCAGGGGGACAGCAGGTGCCAAAGCTTGAGGGAGGAAGGAGCTTGAGATGCCTGTTTTAACTTGGGTGTTGTTCCTCTAGACCTACTTCCCTTAGAGCACTCCAGATATTTTTGAGTTTATTATAAAGTTGACATTAAGTTTGTTATTTATTATTCAGGGAACACGGTTGACACAGTTTCTTGTGACTAGAGCACAGGAAGGTAGGGAGAGAGTGGAACAAGCTGAGGCTGACCAGTCTCACCACTTGCGAACCAGTCCCACACTGGCAGTGTAGACATACTTTCAGTACTCAAATACAATGACCAATATCAATACGCTGGTTTCTCTTCAGATCGTATAAACCTTTTGCCTTTTACAAATGGGATGACCAATCTTTTAGAAGCTCAGGGACCTTCATAATTGGAGTTACCTTGCTTTCCAGCCTCCCTCTTGTGCCTGTGCTGTTGTCTCTGCTAAACATGCCTCTGCTGTGTGCTGGCTGAGCACGCAAACTTCTACGTGCCCTTTCTAACTTGGTTGAAATTTCACCTCTGTGTTCCTCTCCCCCTGCACTCTATTAGCTTTTGGTACTCCTGCTGTGTATTGGTTTGCCTAACTATCTGGCCCACAAGTGCTACCCCTCTCGGGAGCTTGTTTACTTATCTACTTATTTTATCTCTGTATGATACAGAACATGAGACCAGGAAGTCTTCATTTTAATAGCAAATATTCATTGAGAGAATGAGTGAAATAACTAGCCATGACTAACCTCCACCTGACACCTGATGAGAAAGTGACCTTTGGCTCCTTTTCATGGAAGAGTAGAGATTAGCATCCAGAAGAGATGAGTGAGGAATCTATACTTACCATGAGCCAGGCACTGTCTCATCTGCTATCTCACTTAATCCCCATGGCATTTGTAGATCTTAGCAAGAAAACTGATGCCTTAAGGCTTGTCCAAAGACCACCCAACTAGTAATGGGGAACCTGGCATGGGAATCTAAGTCTGATTTCTAAGGTTGAACATCTTCATACTACCTCTGTTCCTCTTGCTCCTATTCTACACCTGTATTATTTAATTTTTGTTAATTCTCAAATTAAAAAAGGTATTTGTGAAAGGGAGGAAGAGATGGGGCCAGTGCTGTGGTGCAGTAGGTTAATCCTCCGCCTGCGGCACCAGCAGCCCATATGAGTGCCGGTTCTAGTCCTGGCTGCTCCTCTTCCAATCCAGCTCTCTCTTGGGAAAGCAGTAGAAGATGGCCCAAGTGCTTGGGCCCCTGCACCCACATGAGAGACCAGGAAGAAGCACCTGGCTCCTGGCTTTGGATTGGCACGGCTCCAGCCATTGTGGCCATTTGGTGAGTGAACCAACAGAAGGAAGACCTTTCTCTATGTCTGTCCCTTTCACTGTCTATAACTCTACCTCTCAAATAAATAAATAAAAATCTTAAAGGGAGGAAGAGAAAAGGGGTGGGGGAGAGAGGGAGGGAGGGAGGATAGGAAGGAGGGAGAAAGAGGGAGAGGGGGAGAGGGGGAGAGAGAGAGAGAGAGAGAGAGAGAGAGATCTTTTATTTGCTGGTTCACTCCAAGTGCCAGCAAAATCCAGGATTGGGCCAGGCTAAAGTCAGGAGCCAGGAACTCCATCTAGGTTTCCCATGTGTGTGATAAAACTTAAGTACCTGAGCCATCACCTACTGCTGCCCAGGGTGTGCATTAGCAGGAAACTGGATCAGAAATGGAGTCGGGACTTGAAGCCATGCACTCTGATACGGGATGCAGCTGTCACAAGTGGCGTCTTAACCACTGTGTCAAATGCCTGCTCCTATTTTTATTTTTTATCTTTTCTAAATGTTTCTCATTTCATTTTATTATATATTCTATTTGAAAGGCAGCAAAAGCAGAGAGACAGAGATCTTCCATCTGCTGATTCATTCCTCAGATGCCCATAATGGCCAGGCTGAAGCCAGGAGCCCCAAACTCAATCTAGGACTCCCACAAGGGTGGCAGGGACTCAAGTATTTGAGCCATTACATACTTCCTTTCAAGATACACGTTAGCAGGAAGGTAGAACAAGCAGAGCCAGGACTCAGATCCAGGCACTCAGCTGTGGGATGCAGGCATCACAAGTGGCATCTTACCATTGCACCATGGTCCCTATTTTACCCGCACAGAACCCTGGGAAACTTAAGGAAATGAGCTGCAGAGGCCCTCTGTCTCTAGTGTGTCATTTGTACCTCTGAGTTATGTTGTATGTAGAACAGCTACTATGGCTCTGCCTCCCTCAGAAACCAGCAACTCATGTCAGTCTCTGTATTCATCTTTGAAGGAATGGGAAAAATTGGTAGGACTCAGAGAAGCAGAAAATCCAGGAAAGACACTATCCAATAGAAATCTCCGAAATGACTGAAGTTCTGCATGTGTGTTTTTCAATATGGCAATGGCTCAAGTTCCTTCTTACACTGAATCTCATCCCCCTCAGTGGTCCCTGGTTCCAGGGTCATTCCAAGATGCTCAGCCTGAGACCTCTGACTAGGCCTTCAAGAGCCCTTTGATTTGAGCTGTCCCTCAGTTGCAACTCAAGCACTGCCCAGAAATACATATCAGCGTGCAGACAGATGGAATGTGCATGGCTCTGGGGATAGCCAGTGCATTGTTGATATTACCACCCCAGCTTCCTGCCTAGAACTTGGCCCAGAGCAGGCACTAGGTTGACATGCTAGATGAATGAACTTACCTTCTTGTCCCCAGGCTGGGGTTCCCTCGCCTACTGCGATTGGCTTCTGGAATCCCTCCTTACCACTGTGACCTGATGCCATTTGCCAGGCAGTGAAGGTTAACGAAGTCAGTGTGTCATAACCATCTCCTCCATCCTGCCCCTGTCAAGGGGCAGCTGCAAAACTAGTGAGTAATAATTTCTGTGAAGCATGCTGGATTCAGTATATTTTTATGTGATGATCTGATTTTTATTTTGAATCTGTACAAAATAACTGCCAAAATGAGCATTTACTACATAGGATTAGGGGCAGTGTGGAGCTGAGGAAAGCACACTGGCTGAGGAGTCACCCTGGACCTGTGACCTTGGATAAGGTCCACAGTGCCTCTGGTTCCCAGTTTTCTCAGGAGTAAAACAAAAACATTAGATTCTAAGTTCCTTTCTGTGCATAATGTGAATGTTTAAGAATATCTGGTCATATCTTCAGTCAATATACATTACACACTTTTCAAGTGATCATTGGCTTGAATCTGGTCTCTTTACATTACACACCTTTCACCAAACCCTTCCACTGCCTGTATCTTCCTCATTTGTAACGTCGTTAGTATTTTTTAATTGCTTCTTCACATCCCAACAAACCACCTTGGGTTCCAGCCCCTGAGTCACCTGCTCCTTGGCCATACCTAGAGTCTCTAATCCTCAGCACTCTCAATTCCTGACAACAGAGAGAGGAGTCTTCTTCCTCGGACCTGGTTCACTGTTCCTCACTCCCCAGAAAAATCAAACCTGAAAAACCAGGTTTCTATTCTACAGTTGCCTCTCTCACCACTAGATGGCACATGTGATGCAGGTCACCAGTCTCTTGGGCAAAACTTTAAATATTTTATGTAGTTATACTTTACCTCAGTCCACAAAAGCATTGAGAGGCATTACAAAAGTATAAAGTACACAGAAGGATAAAGTCGAGGTTGGGGGGGGGCTGGAGAAAATAGAGAACAAATGGAAGAAACAAGTCCAGGATAACATTAGCTCAAGGTGAACAGTAGCAGAGGCTCACACATTTAGTTCCAAGCATCTGAATAGCCAAAAAAGGGAAATGTGAAAAATTCCAGATGTAAAGCAAAAGTTATTTTGTTTAATTGAGAAGGAGGAAGAGAGAGATCTCCTATTTGCTGATTTACTTCCCAAATGCCTAAGAGATGGAAACTCAGCCCAGGCTCAAACCACATCTCATGCACGGGTAATGAGGACCCAACCACTTGAGCCATTGCCTGCTGCCTCTGATGGAAGCTAGAATCAGAAGCAGAGCCAGAAGTTGAACCCTGGCACTGCAGGATGGAATTTGGACATCTAAACCAGCATCAGTCCCTAAAATTCCAGATTTTACACAAGCGAAGTAATTATTTAGGAGGTACCCAGAACAGAGACCTGGAACTAGAGAATTATTTACCTATGGATCCACTGGCCAAACAGTGCACAAAGACAGCAATTACTTGATTGGAGCTGCTCCTTACAATGTTCTATTCAGGCTTATGGCATGAGACTGAAGTCCAGTTGAAGAAAAGCAGTTCTATGGAACTCAAACACAGGTTTCCAGGACAGAGTAAATTCACTGTTTGCTGCATGCTTTTGTGTTTTCACAAGTGAAATTTGCATCTCCCATTCCAGGTTTGGGTGGAGTTTGGGAAGATGGAGTTGTCCTTGGAGATGTGGTAGGCAGTCTTTTAGGAGGCCCCAGTGATCCCTGTCTTGTGGTTTTACACCGTTATGTAGTCCCTTGCCACATTGTACCAGGGGTGGTCTGTGTGACCAACAGAATCCAGAGGGAGATATGGTATGTTATATCTGAGATGAGGTTAGAGAAGACATTGTATCTTCTCTCTTGATCTCTCTGTCTCCCTTTCTATCAGGTCACATGCCTTGGGGAGAGCCAGCTGGCACTTCATGAAGAGCTCTAAGGGAGATGCACACAGTGAAGAACTGAGTCTACTGCTAACAGCCAGCATCAGTTTTCTGGTCATGCTCCGCCGTGGTAGCAGATCCTGCAGTCCAAGTCAAGCCTTTGGAGAAAATCCCCAGCTAACATCTGTGTGGAAGCCTCACCATATAATTAAGTCACTCCTTGGATCTGTGAGATAATAATTGATTCTTATTTTAAGTCATTAAGTTTTAGGGTAATTTGTTATGAAATAGACAACTAATACAAAGGCCAATAGAAACCCAGGGTTATCAGGGATGTTTTTACATGGGTGATCAACTTGGTTTCAGAGACTAAGAAAATATTTCAAAAGCAATGTAGGGGCTTTAAACGTGACATCTATGAGCACTCAGGCTGTGAACATAGAAAGATGGGTAGGTAGAAGGGTCCATATAAAATGAAAAATAGGGGCCTGTGCTGTGGTGTAGTGGGCTAAGCCTTTGCCTGTGGCACAGGCATCCCATATGGGTGTTGGTTCTAGTCCTGGCTGCTCCTCTTTCGATCTAGCTCTCTGATATGGCCTGGGAAAGCAGTAGAGGATGGCCCAAGTCCTTGGGCCCCTGCACTCTCATGGGAGACCTGGAAGAAGCTCCTATCTCCTGGCTTCGGATTGGTGCAGCTCTGGCCATTGCTGCCATCTGGGGAGTGACCCAGTGGGTGGAAGACCTCTCTCTCTCTCTCTTTATCTCTCTCTCTCTCTGCCTCTGTCTCTCTGTAACTCTGTCTTTCAAATAAATAAATAAATCTTTTTTTTTTTGACAGGCAGAGTGGACAGTGAGAGAGAGAGACAGAGAGAAAGGTCTTCCTTTGCCGTTGGTTCACCCTCCAAATGGGCCGCCGCAGCCGGCGTGCTGCGGCCCGTGCACTGTGCTGATCCGACGGCAGGAGCCAGGTGCTTTTCCTGGTCTCCCATGGGGTGCAGGGCCCAAGCAGTTGGGCCATCCTCCACTGCACTCCCAGGCCACAGCAGAGAGCTGGCCTGGAAGAGGGGCAACCGGGACTAGAACCCGGTGTGCCAGAGCCGCAGGCGGAGGATTAGCCTATTGAGCCGCAGCGCCAGCCTAAATAAATAAATAAATCTTAAAAAAAAAAAAAGAAAAGAAAAATTGGAGCCCAGAATCCATAAGCTTCTTCTTGGTGAAGTGCTTACCCCCTCACTATTTGAACAGCCTTGAGTTTGTCTCCACCCACACTGGGATTCACTCTTTGACCAGGATAAAAAGAACCTGGGCTGCGTGATGGAGATAAAATAGCTCCTCGTGCCTCACCTGGACCTACTGAATGAGGATTGCCGGGTGTCACTCCTTTGCCCGCAAAGGAACGACACTGCTCCCAGCTGATCGGTCTTCAGTAGACTTTTATTTAAACAGGATAGAAAGAGAAACCCTTGAGCAAGGGGAGCTCCGAAAGAAAGGGGAAGCTCCCGTACCATATCACAAACAGTATAACATTGTTGAAGCATGTAAGCAAGCTTAGTCCGTACTACAGTCCATGCGGTGGTGCTCCAATCGGGTGCCTGATCACGAACAGTCCACGCGCTCCTTGTCCAACCCTAAAGGTGATCACACACCTTCATCCAATCAAGCTCCTGGTCATGTAGCAGGTGACTCGGGTGCTAACAACAAGCTTCCACCTGGTGTTTTCTCAGCCTTGGTCAGTGGGAAAAGAAATACGGGAAGCCCCAAGGCCATAGTTGTTTTGACTCTAGCCTGGGGTTATGAAACGGTCCCGATATCGCAGCTCAACAGAAACCATAAACATCCACACAGCAGTAACTATTGCAAACGGTCAGCAAGCTAAGCCTTAGCATGTGGGCCCGTGGCCGGCTCATGGATCCCCACAGCCGGGGGGAGGCCTGGCTGTACATCCAGCAGATTTCCTGGGCAATTCTTATTTCCAGAGACGTTTGAGGAACACTGTTAGCTTATCTGCAGCTAGAAGCACTGTAAGCACTATCCTGGGCTCTCAATTGAGTTTCCAATGCTTAATCATGCTAAGCTTCATTTCCCTCCCTACAACATGGACATAAGGGCCAACACGGTGGTGCAGTAAATTAATCCTCCACCTGTGGTTCCAGCATCCCATCTAGGCACTGGTTGTAGTCCCGGTTGTCCTCTTCCGATCCAACTCTCTGCTATGCCTGGCAAAGCAGTGGGAGATGGGCCAAGCACTTGGGCCCCTGCACCTACATGGGAGACCCAGAAGAAGCTCCTGGCTTCGGATTGGCCCAGCTCTGGCCACTGTGGCCATTTGGGGAGTAACCCAGCGGATGGAAACCTTTCTTTCTGTCTCTCCGTCTCTGTCTGTTACTCTACCTCTCAAATAAACAAATAAATAAAGTCTTTAAAAAATAAAATGCAAAATAAATTTCTCTGCAGAAAGTGGGTGGGGCAAGGACCTTAACTGCCTTCCTCATTGTGACATCCTCTGTATCTAGCACAGAGCCTGGCACATAAGAATTTCTGCAAATCTTTAATGAACACATGAATGGGGAAATCTAACATGGAATGAGGTCCTTTATTTAGACAGCAATCATTTGTTACACTTCTGTGTGCCAGGCACAAAATCTTAATTCAGTCCCATACAACTTCTGTATCATATACAGAAAGATCCATATTCATCTTTTCCATAATTTTTTTTTTAAAGAGAATGCCCAGGGCTGGTGCTGTGGCTCACTTGGTTAATCCTCCACCTGTGGTGCTGGCATCCCATATGGGTGCCGGGTTCTAGTCCTGTTTGCTCTTCTTCCAGTCCAGCTCTCTGCTGTGGCCCGGGAAAGCAGTGGAGGATGGCCCAAGTGCTTGCACCCACATGGGAGACCAGGAAGAAGCTCCTGGCTTCTGGCTTCGGATCGGCGCAGTGCCGGCCGTAGCGGCCATTTGGGGAGTGAACCAACGGAAGGAAGCCCTTTCTCTCTGTCTCTCTCTCACTGTCTATAACTCTACCCTGTTAAGTAGAGAGAACAACACTGAAACAAAAAAAAAGAAGAGAATGCACACAATATCCAAGGTTGGGCCAGGCCAAAGCAAGAGTCTGGAGTTCAGTTGGGGTCTTCCATATGAGTGGCAAGGACTCAACTACTGGAGCGATCACATGCTGCCCTCGTGGGTGTGGGTGAACATTAGCAGGAAGCTGGATCAGAAGCAGAGCTGGAACTTGAACCCAGGGACTCCAGTACAGCATGTGGAGCATGTGGGCATCCCAAGTAGAGACTTAAATTACTAAGCCAAACACTGGCTCCTCTCTCTTCCCCCACCTTTCACCCTCCCTGTGTATTCCATTAATCTGTGTTTTGTCCTTAAAATTCTTTATTACCTGAAATTTACTTATTTATTTAATTTATTTGAAAGGCAGAGAGGCAGAGATCTCTCATCCTCTGGCTTACACCTCAAATGCTTGCAATAGCTGTGGATGGGCCAGGTTGGAGCCAAGGGCCAGGAACTCAATCTGGCAGGGACCCAGCTAGCGCCATCACCTGCTGCTTCCTAGCAGCATGTTAGCGGCAAGCTGGAATCGAGTGTGAAGTCATGACTCAAACCCAGGCACTCTGGTACAGTGTGTGGGTGTCACAAGTGCACCAAACTCCTGCCCCTATTACTTTTGTAGAGATTTACATGTGGAGATTTACATGTCCACACTGAAAACTTGTTCATAGGATAACGTTCTTAGTTGACCATGACAAGTAATTTCTTGTCACCATTTTTCCAACAGAAGGACCAGAGCTGCTTAGACAATTGGTTTTTATGTGGTATGATATTATCTTGGGGTCTGCCTTGCTGCTTTTTCTTTCTTTTTGTTGAAAAATGACTTGAACTGGCTGGTGTTAATAACTGTTTGGTTGTCTTTGGATGACAACTATCTAACAGGGTCTATATTCCTCCTTGCATGTTGACTTTGGTACTGATTTTAATGCAATAGAAAAACCCTGGGGGATGAGGAGAATCCATTAGCATATTGGTCACAAACCCTGTGCTTCCCCTCTTTGTGAAACTCTTCTTCCCCCATGACTGGCTCTGCACCACTTCCTTGTCTTCTGTTACCACCACCACTGTTATTACTTCACAGCTATTACTTCACTGAGCACCTTAATACATAGCCATCGCTAAGTTACACAAGTGTTACACATGCATTGTGTTGTACATAACACGTTACGCATGCATTATTGAATCTGTGCTAGAGACTGTGAATTGTCTTGTCAATTTTGTTAGTCCAGATCCTTTGAGAAGCAGGTACCAAGATGGGCTGCAGTAAGTGTGCAAGTGTTTCACTAGGGAAAATGCCTGTGTGAGAGGAGATAGGAAGGGGGCAACAAAAGACAGGGAGCTAGAGAAGTCCAGGAAAGCCAGCACCTCCAAGCAAAGGAGAGTGAGCAGTGGCTTGTTAGCATTCCAGAGGACACTGCCATCTAGAAAGGTACAGTCTGATGAGGTTCCACAAAGCCATCAGGGAGCCTGTGGGCCAAAGTCTGCCAGTAAAGCAGTCCCTGTCTCTCAGGTCTGGGTCCAATTTTGCACCCTGCCCACATTCAGTCACTTGGATTTCCACATTCAGTCACATTCAGTGGATTTCAAAGCAAAGCAGCTGGGGTTCTCAGCTCCCTGCAGGAGGAAGCCTGCAGATGCACATTCATGTGGCTGCCATGCCAAGATTCACTCCTCCTTTGTAAATAACAGAAGCCTGATTTATTTGGGGTGGCAGACACCTGATGCTGAATGGAAATTTCAGTTCCTCTCCTTCCTTGCAACAAGTATGGCCCTGGGACTGAGTTCTGTTTGATGCAATATAAGCAAGTGCTGTGAGGATCTTTCAGATACATGAAGGGGCTTCAAAAAGTTCATGGAAAATTGCATTGAGAGATAAGTTTATTTTGGTACCCCCTATTTTTAAACTTAATATTTTGTTTATGTTTGAGATCACATTTTTACACCCTAGTCAAAGGCTTAACGGTTCTACTAAATAAGGAACTCAACAAGTATGAAAATAAACAAGGACTATGATGCCCGCAAGTTTTGAAATCCATGCATATGAGGGGGGGTCTTCAAAAAGTTTTTGAAAAATACATACCATGAAAAAATTATGCATGGAATGCAAGAGTTTTTTGGCATCAAAAATAAACTTATCTTTTAATTCTCTTTTTTTCCAAGAATATTTTGAAGTGCCTTTCATAGCCTACTTAAAAAGATCTGGCTTGGCTGGGAGGTGCATCCCTTCTTCTCCTCCCTTTACTTGGGACTGTGGATAAAATAGCTGCAGTCATTTTGTGCCAAGAGGCAATAGGTGAATAATGAAAGGACAGAAAGCAAAGGTCTTTCTCCCTAATGATTAGAGACCTCATATCAGCTGTGGATTGTCTACTTATGCACTTTAACTTGAGAGAAAAACTATGCTTAAGCCATTTAAAAATTTTTTTATATAAAGATTTATTTATTTATTTGAAAGTCAGAGTTACACAGAGAAAGGAGAGGCAGAGAGAGAGAAAGAGAGGTCTTCCATCCGATGGTTCACTCCCCAACTGGCCACAATGGCTGAAGCTGCACTGATCCAAAGCCAGGAGATTCTTCCAGGTCTCCCACATGCGTGCAAGGGGCCTAAGGACTTAGGCCATCTTCTGCTTTCCCAGACCACAGCAGAGAACTGGATCAGAAGTGGAGCAGCCGGGACTCAAACCGACACCCATATGGGATGCTGGCACTGCAGGCGATGGCTTTAACTGCTGCACCACAGCACTGGCCCCTATTACTTTGTTTTTGGTATGTGCAAGCATATCTAGTCCTAATTGATAAAGTTTCTAACCTTTATAATAATCCCACCAAACACATTTATGCCCATTATTTTTTAGATATATTTTATTTATTTATTTGAGAGGTAGAGTAACAGAGAGACGGAGAGACAGAGAGAAAGGTTTTTCATCCGCTGGTTTACTCCCCAAATGGCCACCAACAGCTGGAACTGGGCCAATCTGAAGCCAGGAGCTTCTTCTGGGTCTCCCATGTAGGTGCAGGGGCCCAAGTGCTTGGCCCATCTCCCACTGCTTTGCCAGGCATAGCAGAGAGTTGGATTGGAAGCGGACAACTGGGACTAGAACCAGTGCCTAGATGGGATGCTGGAACCACAGGTGGAGGATTAATTTACTGCACCACCGTGTTGGCCCTTATGTCCATGTTGTAGGGAGGGAAATGAAGCTTAGCATGATTAAGCATTGGAAACTCAATTGAGAGCCCAGGATAGTGCTTACAGTGCTTTTAGCTGCAGATAAACTAACAGTGTTCCTCAAATGTCTCTGGAAATAAGAATTGCCCAGGAAATCTGCTGGATGTACAGCCAGGCCTCCCCCCGGCAATCCTCATTCAGTAGGTCCAGGTGAGGCCCGAGGAGCTATTTTATCTCCATCAGGCAACCCAGGCTCTCTTTATCCTGGGCAAAGAGTGAATCCCAGTGTGGGTGGAGACAAACTCAAGGCGGTTCAAATAGTGAGGGAGTGAACACTTCACCAAGAAGACTGCTGTGAGCACAGACATTATTTGTAGAGCTTATGGATTCTGGGCTCCAATTTTTCTTTTCTTTTTTTTTTTTTAAAGATTTATTTATTTATTTGAAAGACAGTTACAGAGAGTCCTAGTCAGAGAGAGAGAGAGAGAGAGAGAGAAAGTAAGTCTTTATCCGCTGGTTCAGTCACCAGATGATTGCAATGGCTGGAGCTGCACTGATCTGAAGCTAGGAGTCAGGAGCGTCTTCTGGGTCTCCCACATGTTTGCATGGGCCCAAGGACTTGGGCCATCTTCTACTGCTTTCCTGGGCCATAACAGAGAGCTGGATTGGAAGTAGAGCAGCCAGGACTCAAACCGGTGCCCAGATGGGATGCTGGCACTGCAGGTGGCGGCTTTACCTGCTTGGCACAGCGCTTACCCCAAGGTACCAATTTTCATTTATAAAAGGTTTGTCCTGGTGGGTGTTTGTCCTAGTGGTTAAGATTCTGGCATTCTATATTTGAGGGCCTAAATTTGATCTGACTCCTGGTTCCAGCTTCCTGCTAATGCAGACCCCGGGATGGCTCATCAGTTGAGTTCCTGCCACCTGGAATCAGTACCTAGCTACCGAGCCCCAACTGTTGTAAGTATTTGGGAGTGAACTGACAAGTGCGAGCTCTCTGTCTACCAGTCTCTGTCTCTTTCATTCTCTCTCTTCCTCTTTCTCAAGAAAAAAAAAAAAAGTTGGTACATGATTTGTGGGACTAGAGGAAATGCATTTTGAGAAGTTCTCCACAGGACCATCCAGTTTGAAGGACTCTGGCTTAACAGTTAAGGGTACCAGTGTTAGAATATGATGAACTTGTGTTTGAATCCTGATGCAGCCATTTATTTTCCAGGTGATCTCTGGCCGGCTAATTAAGCAATCTGTCTCAGGTTTCATCATTTTCACGTTGAAGAAAATAATAAGGTCTACCCCACAGGATCATTGTGTGGATTAAAAGAGCTAATTTATGCAAAGCTCAAAGCTTTGCATAAATAGGCTCTCAATAAATGGTAACTATTGTTATCAGCATACTTTATGCACACTACTTGCAAACAGTATTGTACAGTTTCATTACTATGGATAATTGATACCAATTGGCGGGAACTAGGATTCTCTATAGCTACTTCTCAAAATGAGTGCAATGGCCTGCGGTCACACAGAAGGTCCCTAAAGGTCTTCCGGACCTGCTCAATGGGTCCCAGCTGCCCCACCTATCTTCCCTTTCTCCTTTTCTGCTGTCAGCCCAAGAATCCTCTCCACGCAATGGCTCTGTTTTCCTGCTTCCCACTCCCTCTTCACACCTTGCAATTTGTATTCTGCTGTTGCTGTTTCCTTGAAAGACTCTCAGCAAGGTCTTCAGTGTCTTCCATGTTGCCAAATTCAATGGGTATTTTAAAGTCCCCATCCCATGTGAGCCTCCTGTTTTTTTTTTTTTTTTTTTTTTTTTTTTTTACACTGTTGTTGGCTTATTCCCTATTGGGACTTTCTCTCTTGGTTTCCAGGACTTCACAGTTCTGTTTTTTCTAAGTCTGGGATCAGTTTCTTCTGGTGAAACTTTACCTTTTTCCTCATTATCAACAGCTGTTTTCTGCCCTTGTCAATTCTTCATTTTCTCCTCATTGTGCTTCACTATTCCTTTTCTTTCTCTGACAAGAGCCCACTATCATTGAACTTTTCTAAATTCTAGGTGAATTTTCTGCCTTTTTAGGATATATTTGTCTAATGCAACCTTTCCCCTCTTTCCTCTATGAGGTGAGAATAGTTAAATCAGACCGAAGAAGTCTCTTCAGAGCTCTTCATAGGAGGCCAAGCAAAACCCATGATAATAGGACCTGAATTTTCTGTAGATCAGGCCCCCTCAGATAAACTTAATAGTCCCAAGTTACACTGATATTGGAGATAGAGTCACTGAATGCATTCTCTCAGCTCAGACACCAAGGTCTTATGTCTGGGCTGTGGCTTCTCTGATACTCAGTGCCTTTCAGAGGCAGTTGGGCCCATTCCTGTCAATGACTTGACTTTGGACCTTGCTTTAACCTCTCTGGTTTCAGTTTTGTCATAGATGAAATGCAAGAGTTGAAATAGTTATCTAACTCTGTGGTACCATCATGATTAACTTTGTCATCATTCGTACAACCCTTGATTTCACTCCTAGAAATGCATCCCACAGAAATACTCTCCCAAGTACATGAGGATGTATGCATGCAAGAATGTTTGTATGAACCTCATCAAGAGAGGACTGGTTAAATAACTTAGGGTAATGTTCTAAGCCTGCACTGCCCAGAGTAGACAGTATGCTCTTTGCTACTGGACCACTAGGAGATAAGGAGTTTGAACCAGAACATAATTCAATAAAACACACACAAATACCAGCCGAAGTGAACAGAGTATGTACAAGCATTCTGGTGCAAGCTCATTTCTTAGCTGTTCTCAGTCCAGCAGCAAACGATTTCCAGATCAGTGCCAACTGGTTTACAGCCCACCCTTGGAGTAACACTGCTAAAGCTTAACAAAAATGAGGTGGAGACAGGCGCAAAGAATACCTAACATACTGTCTTAGTGAGTTTTCTGTTACTGTAATAAAGCACCTGAGACCAGGTAGTTGATACAAGTACAAGTTCATTTGGCTCAGCCGGCACCACGGCTCAATAGGCTAATCCTCTGCCTTGCAGTGCTGGCACACCGGGTTCTAGTCCCGGTCGGGGCGCCGGATTCTGTCCCGGTTGCCCCTTTTCCAGGCCAGCTCTCTGCTGTGGCCTGGGAGTGCTGTGGAGGATGGCCTAGGTGCTTGGGCCCTGCACCCCATGGGAGACCAGGATTAGTACCTGGCTCCTGCCTTCAGATCAGCGCAGTGCGCTGGCCGCAGCGGCCATTGGAGGGTGAACCAATGGGAAAAGGAAGACCTTTCTCTCTGTCTCTCTCTCTCACTGTCCACTCTGCCTGTCAAAAAAAAAAAAAAGTTTATTTGGCTTATGGTTCAGGAGGCTTGGAAATGTGGGAGCACGGTGCTGCTATCTGCTTGGCATCTGTCCTACTATACCATAGCATCGCAGAGGTGTCACATGCTAACTCAGGTCTCATTCTCTTATTATAAAGCCATTAGTGCCATCCTGGGGACCCCACCTTCATGACTGCATCTAATCCTTTTTGCCTCCAAATACCGTTAGTGTATTAATTTGGTGATTAAGTTTTGAACTTTTGGGATTTTCAAAAAAAGATATACTATTTAAAAGATATACTGTTAGAAGAAAAAAGTATGCCACAGAAGAGTAAGGTGTTTTCAAAATCAGAGCTCTAGGCCAAAAAGGGCTATAAAAGCACACAGATATGCCTGTGGATGCGTGGAATATCTCTGGGACTGGGCTTCAGGATTAACAGTGGTTCTCTCTGGGAGTGCAGCTGGGAGTTCAGGTAAGGCACCTGTTTCATGTTGTCTATCCAGGTTGCTCTCCTATACAGCAGAGTGGCTGGAATCTGTTCTGATTGATGTGTACCCTTCTTGCAACAGTTGTTGAATATTTTGGATGCCTGAGTAGGCATTTTAGTGTAGGGGTTAAGACCTCCACGTTTCACATTAGATTCAACTCCTGTCTCTGGCTTCAGATTCCAGCTTCCTGCTAATGCAGACCATGGGATGCAGTGATGATGGCGTAAGTGATTGGATTCCTGCCAGCCGTAAGGGAGATCTGGATTGAGTTCCTGACTCCTGGCTGTTGCCCCAGTTCAGCCCTGGCTGGCCCTTGTAGGTATTTGGAGAGTGAACAAAAAGGTAGGAGCTCTTTGTCTCTCAAATGAATTAAAATATTTTGAATGTTACTCTTATTACACATTTTTACTTTTTTAGCATTAGAACAATCAAGCAAAAAACATATTTGCAAATGTAAAAACAAACTAGTTCCAGAGAGAATACCAATGCTTCTAGAGCTTCTATTTGCCAGTAAACAAGTGTCCCCTTTTCATTTCTCATGGACATTGTTTCCTTCTGTTCTCGCAGTGGGGTCTGTGAATAAAGCAGCTCTCTCTGCCCTGTGCTCTGGATCTTTTCTGCAGATACATTTATGAGAAGGCATTTTGGTTCACAGCCTAGTGATGAAGAAGGCTCAGGGGCCAGAGGACTGATTATGGTTCTAATTTGCAATTATCCAGTGATTTTTCATGCTGCTCAAGGAATTCTGACTTCCTCCCTGTTTGGGTTGGAGAGTTATAAGGCTCTGATTTGATTGGAGTCGGATAGGCTATGATTATCATAAGCATTTGGCATATTGAGTTGGGAAGTATTGGGCAACAAATGTAAATTACTTTTTTCCATTTTCGCTCTTACACAACTGCATATTTACTGTTTGCGCCGACCCTGAGTAGAAAAGTGAAATGCCTTATCCTGATGGCCTAAAAATGGAAACTGATGAGATGCCTGGATTGTCTCTTTAAACTTAATATGCAAACATAATGCTGATGAAGCAACGCAGAGCTGAGACAACATACCTGGAGCCTGGTAATTTTTGATTCAGGTGTTCTAGGCCAGTCTACTCCGGTTCTTGATAATAAACATTTTTTTTCTTTTAGTTTTATATCTCCATAATAAAAAAAGCTGATTGGCCTTTGTCTTTAGTTTTTGGGAAATATTTTCTAAATTCTTGGTATTTCTTAAATGATAGGAATGGCTTTTTACTCATGGTGGGCCCTGATTGTTTATGCTAAGGAGATGACACTAGATGGGCACTGGCCCTGCCAGAAAGAGGGATGGTGAGATTGGAAGGCTGGGGCTTTGAGCCATGTAGTATCAGTCTGACCTCCAAGAAGAGGGAAGGGGCACAGCCAATGATGCAGTCAGTCATGCTTGCATAATGAAACCCCAGTAAAGACTGACTTTGGATATGTAATCAGGTGGGAAAACTCAAGGGCTATTGTCTAACATGGATGCCAAAGAAACACATTCAAGTGGTAAGCAGAAAGGAATATATTAGGTTTGGCCAAGACAAGAAGCCAAGGTGGTCTTATGACCAAAAACCAGGCTCTCTGAACAACCAGGAGTTACAAGTTCTATAGGGCTTGCTTCTAGCAAAGTTATACATAGTCATTACATTTTAGAGGAATTCTAGGAAATGTTATGCATATTCACACATACCCACTAAGTTATCATGCATACTAAGTTACATACATTCCATGTTCAGTTGCGGCTGGAGATTTAACATTATAATTAGGGGATTTTTGGCTTTCTATGTGACAAAAGTAAAGTTGAGAATGAGATTGTTGCTTATGAGCAGAATCTTTTTTTTTCTTTTTTAAAGATTTATTTATTTACTTGAAAGTCAGAGTTAAACAGAGCGAGAAGGAGATGCAGAAATAGAGAGAGGTCTTCCATCCACTGGTTCACTCTCCAGATGGCCACAACGGCCAGAGCTGTGCCGATCCAAAGCCAGGAGCCAGGAGCTTCTTCCAGGTCTCCCACGTGGGTGCGGGGCCCAAGGACTTCTACTGCTTGCCCAGGCCATAGCAGAGGGCTTCATTGGAAGTGGAGCAGCTGGGACTGGAACCAGCGCCCATATGGGATGCCAGCATTGCAGATGGTGGCTTTATCCACTAAGCCAGAGCAGCGGCCCCATAGGCAGAATCTTCAACCAAGTTGGGAACCAAGTTTTTGTCATCAAGAGGTACCCATTCAGCGCTGAGATGTGTCTTGATCCAGTAAGTTGTGGGTTGCATCTGCCTGCAAGAACATCTGGTTGATTTTAACTAGGATTGAATAGGATTGAGTCCTTTTTCTTTAGGGGGTTGGGTAGGGGTGTCAGAGCGTAGGTGAACTTTCCTGGTTGGCAACCTTTTGTATCACTGTCACGTATCAGTGGGGAAGGAAGACACATCATGACAGATACAGGACAGTGAAAACTTTCATTTGAAACTCTCCAAGATCTTACCCTGTGTTTCCTCCTTTGGCTCCTTCTAATTTGTATCCTTTTGCCATAATAAAACTTTAATTGTAAGTATAGTTCTTGCTTGTGTACTGTGAGTCATTCTAGTGAGTTACTAAACCTGAGTGGATAATGAGAACCCTGATTTTGTAGGCAGCTGGTTAGATGTGAAGGTGATGTGGGGACCCCCAAACTTGTGACTGGTGTCTGAAGCGAAGCCAGTCTTGTGGCTTGTACCCCTCACTGGTGAAGTTTTACCTAAGTTGGGGTAGCATGGCCTCAGAAGTCATTATAATTTCCCTAACCTTTTTTTTTTTTTTCCAAGTAGAGTTATAGACAGTGAGAGAGAGACAGAAAGGTCTTCCTTCTGTTGGTTCACTCCCCTAATGGCCGCTGCGGTCGGCGCTGCACCCATCCGAAGCCAGGAGCTGGGTACTTCCTCCTGGTCTCCCATGTGGATGCAGGGGCCCAAGCACTTGGGCCATCCTCCACTGCCCTCCCGGGCCACAGCAGAGAGCTGGACTGGAAGAAGAGCAATTGGGACTAGTACCTGGCGCCCTAACCGGGACTAGAACCCTGGGTGCTGGCACTGCAGGCGGAGGATTAGCCAAGTGAGCCACGGTGCCGGCCTCCCTAACCTTTCATATAGAAAATTTAAAACCTAAAATTCACAAGAGTAGTACAGTGAAAACCCAGTACCTTTTTACTTTGAGTCTCCAATTTGTTAACCTATTTCCATATTTGCTTTTTTTCTTTCTCCATACAATTTTTTTTCTCTGAACTAATTGAAAATCATAGATATGTCATCCTGAAACACTTCAACATATATCTTCTCAGAACCTGGCCATTCTACTGCATGACCCCAACATCATGATCACACTTAAGAAACCTATCATTGATACAATATTATCTAGTACACCACATTTCATTTTCCCCTATTGTCCCTAAAATATCTCATATTTCTTTCCTTCCAACTTAGGGTCAGTCAAGAATCATGTATTGTGTTTGGTTGGCTTGTTTCCCTGGTTTCCTTTTATCTAAGATTTTATTTTACTTATTTTTTGTCTTTCATGGCATTGACACTTTGGAAAGGGCCAGGCTACTTGTCTTTTTTATTGCCCCAGGATCTGGATATGTCTTGTTATTTTCTCATAATTAGATTTAGATGGGCCAGCGCTGCGGCTCAATAGGCTAATCCGCCTAGTGGCGCCTGCACACAGGGTTCTAGTCCCAGTCGGGGTGCTGGATTCTGTCCCGGTTGCCTCTCTTCCAGGCCAGCTCTCTGCTCTGGCCCAGGAGTGCTGTGGAGGATGGCCCAAGTGCTTGGGCCCTGCACCCCATGGGAGACCAGGAGAAGCACCTGGCTCCTGCCTTCGGATCAGCAACAGTGCGCCGGCCGCAGCACGCCGGCTGCGGCGGCCATTGGAGGGTGAACCAACGGCAAAGGGAGATCTTTCTCGCTGTCTCTCTCTCTCTCACTGTCCACTCTGCCTGTAAAAAAAAAAAAAAAATTAGATGATACATCCTTGGCAGGAATACAAAACTACATCAATGATGTGTTGATGAAAGGTTTGCATTGAAAAAGAAGAAAAAAAACCCCACATCCACAGGGAGGAGCAAATATGCCACACATGTTACACGGAAGAACTGTTTGGGACAAGGGCCAAAGCTTGTGGTGGAGACAATTTTGCAGAACAGGAATGCTGGAGTTACTCATCTTCCTCACTGTCATCTTCTCACTCTTCTTCTCCTTTGCTTTTTTTTTTTTTTTTTTTTAAGATTTATTTACTTATTTGAAAGGCAAAGTAACAGAGAGGCAGAGGTAGAGAGAGAGAGAGAGAGAGGGGTCTTCCTTCCGTTGGTTCACTCCCAAGATGGCCACAATGGCCAGAGCTGCGCTGATCTGAAGCCAGGAGCCAGGAGCTTCTTCCAGTCTCCCACATGTTTGCATGGGCCCAAGGACTTGGGCCATCTTCTACTGCTTTCCCAGGCCATAGCAGAGAACTGGATCGGAAGTGGAACAGCTGGGTCTCAAACCAGCTCCCACATGGGATGCCAGCACTGCAGGTGGTGACCTTACCTGCTACATCACAGTGCCGGCCCCCATCTTCTCACTCTTCTTGGACCATCTTGTTCTAGCCCTGCCCAGGATGAGAGGACATTCCCATGTTCATCTGCCACCCAGCTTGCTTTTCTAAACAAGTACTGATACCCAACTGCTTCTTTTCATCTCAAAGGTGTCTCAAGGATCCTTCACACTTAACAGGTGCAGCACTAAACTTTTGAGTTTCTACCAGCCCCCATGTCCATGAATGGCCCTGCCACACGTAGGTTTATGTGAGCCAGAAATCTGGACGTCATTCCTGATGCTTGCTTTTCTTTGTCTCCTTTTACAGCCAGTCCATCACCCAGTCTTGCTGTTCTGACCACCTGAATAGCTACATATCCATCCACTTTCTCCATCTTCTCTGCCAGCTTAGCCCAATCCACTATTTCTTTCTTTCTTTTTTTTTTTTTTTCCAATCCACTATTTAACCACAGATTCCTAACTGGTGTAGAATTTGTTTAATGTCAAGTAAACCCCATCTTGTCTCTCTGGCTCTCATTTTGGAAGGTGAATTGACTGAATGTGTATGACTAAGCACCTCCTTGATCTTGCAGAATCTGTTGCTCACGAGGTAGTCTGCTAATGGCCGCAAAACCACGCCACTCTTCAGTCTTCCACCTGCAGCCCCTTCAACTCATCGGAAAGTTTCAAAGCAAATGGTTCTAGATCAGGCCATCTCTCTGCTGATTCCTTAAAAATCTTCCTAGCCCTTTGTTGGAATACATTTTGGGTCTGCCCTTGGTTGTGTGTCTGAATTACAATTCCTATTCTCAAAGAAATGCTTCCTTTGCTTGTATCATAGCCTCACTCTTTTTCTGTTGGCACTGGTTCCTTGGCTACCACCTAGACTCCTTTCTGAATCTGCTCTTCATGTAGCAGCCAAGAATCTGATAACATCATCCCTGTACTTCTTGTACTTCATATCCTTTGATGGATTCCCACTGTTTTTTCTAAGATCAAAATCTTTGCTATGGCTCTTGGTCTCATCTCTGTAGCATCCTTGTTCACCATTATTCTTGTTCTCTGCAGTGTTGCCTTCTCAGTTTCTTCTTTCCCACCCTGACGCTGAATTTTTATTTATTTATTTGAAAGAGAGAGGGAGAGAGAAAGAAAGAGCAAGAGCATACTCTGATTTGCTGATTCACTCTCCCTGTTACCAAAGATGGTTGGAATAAAGGCCCTTGTCTCCCTATAATAAAAGAATTTCAGATGTGAGACAGTAGTGGTAAACAAGCTAGGAAAGTTTAGTGAGGTAGTACATCTGAGAAGCCAGATGTGTAACTGGTCAGAAGAAACAGAGTGCCCAGTCTACACTGACAGTGGGGTTTATATGGTTATGGAGTGTACTTCTTCCCACTGTTTCACCTTCTCCCTCCCTCTTTTGGAATATTGCTGGACAAATGGATTTCTAGATGAGAAATTTGTGAAATTCCTTCCCAAGGTTTTATTGCTCAATGTTATCAGACTGGGTAGCTCACAAAATAGTGCCCTTGCCACCAGGCCAGGAAGATTCTCCTGGGATGTCCAGGTGGGGTGTGTGTGTATGTGGTGGGGAGTGAGACTGGGACCACCTACAAAGTTACTGGGAAGTGGGTAAGACTTTGATGTGCAAATGCTGGGCTGCCTTCAAGGCTTCTATGGCTTCTAAGTTCCTGCAGGAAGGAACATTCTTGTCTTTTCCCTTTATTATTATTTATTATTATTATTTATTATTTATTGTAAGCATTTGAGGATGTCTTCCAACCTAACATCCTCAAATGCTTACAATAGCTGGGGCTGGGCCAGGCTGAGGTCAGGAGGCAGAAGCTTGATCCAGATCTCACATGTGAATGACAAGGAGCCAACTAGCTGCTATCTCCCAGGGTGCACATTAGCAGGAAGGTGGAACTGAAAGTGGAGACAGGACTCAAATATAGGCGCTCTGATACAGGATGCAGATGTCCCAAGTGTCATCTTAACCCCTGCAACAAATGACTGCCTGGCCTTTTGGTTTCTTAAATCCCAAACAATTTCTCGCTCTTCCTGCTCCCCAAGGCGCACACACACACTTGTGTTTTCCTCATGCGTGTTCCTCCTTCACACCTTTGCTTGCTAGCCCTTTCCTCTGTGGAAGCACCCCTGTCACCCCCTACATCTTCAGAGCCCTCGATCCTTTTAGTACTTGTTATGGATTATATTATATTACATTTCTGCAGTTGTTCTGTATTTCACTAAGATCTGTCTCCCTACTTCCAGGCTCTGAAGGACAATGACTGTATCTTCTCCTCCTTGGTAGTCCCAGTAAGTAGCACAGTGCCTGGCACTGTGAACCCTCAATGAATATTTGGGGATGTGTGAATGGTCTCCAGGAGGCTTCATGAGAATTCTGAAGGACATGTGTGTCCATGCAAATGTTAAAGAATTCATTCCATAGTCTCTTACAGTCTTGGTAAGCTTGATAAAATATTATCTATTTTATCTGCTCAATCTGAGTTAGAAAGTCCACGGGGAAATTTTTATTTCAAAGTAGTTCCTATATTTAAACTTAGTGAAAAGGAAGAGCAACCAGCATTTCTTCCATCTTTCCATTATGTCTTGAGCCATCTAAACTCGGAGGGTGGCCTAGGCAGCAAATGAAGTGAGAGGCCATTGATATGCAAATGTGGTCATTAAGATTAGAGGCCACACCCCAGAACTCAGCCTCAGTTCTTTGGAAGTCAAAGCCAATTTGCATTAAAAAATGAATCTCCCAAACTTGAAATTATTCTCAAAGCTATAATGCATAGAAATTAAACTATTAAAAAAATCGAGTTTTCAATGGAATACATTGCTGTTTTCTGAGGAGAAAGCTGGCTGTCTTCCAACATATGGGTTCTATTTGCCTTGTGAAAGGGCTTTTAGGTTATTAAAGATGGGCAGCATTGACCTTGGAGTTCTTTATAGTTTCTCTGGAGCCTAGACACCAAGTAGTCCAGACAAGCGCTGCAGAAGATACTGCTACCAATTTTGGGGTCCGCAGAGATCGCATGATATGTTCAAGACTTGAACTCAAGGCTTCAGATTTTAAGTACTGGGCTTCTTGCCCAACATTGAGACTGGTGTTGTGGTGCAGTGCCATGCTGGCATCTCATACTAGAATGCCAGCTTCAGTCCTGGCTTCGGAGCTTTCAGTCCAGCTTCCTGCCTGTGCCTGGGAAGGCAGCAGCAGATGGACTGAGTGTTTGGGCCCCTGCCAGGCATATAGGAGACCAGGATGGAGTCCTTGCTCCTGGCTCTGGACTCACTCTCCATTTGGGGAGTGAACCAGCAGATGGAAAATCTTTCTGTCCCTTTTCTCCCTCTTTCTCTGTTGCTCTCCTTTTCAAATAAATAAATCATAAAAAAAAATCAACATTGTCTTTTTTTTTTTTTTTTTTTTTGACAGGCAGAGTGGACAGTGAGAAAGAGAGAGACAGAAAGGTCTTCCTTTACCGTTGGTTCACCCTCCAATGGCTAGCACGCTGCGGCCGGTGCACTGCGCTGATCCGAAGCCAGGAGCCAGGTGCTTCTCCCATGCGGGTGCAGGACCCAAGGACTTGGGCCATCCTCCACTGCCTTCCCGGGCCACAGCAGAGAGCTGGCCTGGAAGAGGGGCAACCGGGACAGAATCCGGCGCCCTGACTGGGACTAGAACCCGGTGTGCCAGCGCTACAGGCAGAGGATTAGCCTATTGAGCCGCAGCCCGGCTAACATTGTTTTTTAAACAAACCAAATCCTCTGAAGGGCTGTGATTCTCTTTTGAGCAGAGACCAAACCAGTCAGTGTTGCTCCTATCTACACTTTGCCCTCTAGATTCCACAGGAGCTTTGGAATGTGTTTCTAATCTCACAGGAAAGAGGCAAAGCAAATTCCTTCTAGTAATATCAAGAAGGTGATGTGTCTTTCATCTGTCCTGCTGCCTAAATCTGGTTTCACAGAAAATCTCCAAAATGCTCTAAAGTCACTTCGATGGCCAGATGCCAGAGTCAGAATTGATGACTTGAGAGAGGAACAGAGCTTCTGTGATGATCAGGGGATAATGCCATGTGGCTGCTGAAGCCGAGTTTGGCTCCCTGCAAACCTCTGCCCTGGTTGCCAGCATCGTCTCCTACTGCTGATGGATGATGCCCCAGCAGCTCCCGTCCTTGTGGACAGCTCTCATTTCTGTTTTGAACCTGTAGTTGGGTAGCCCTTGGAATTAGAATGTTGTCTTCTGATTCAGAGGATTCTTTTCTTTTCTGCCACAGGGCGACTGAAGGAGGCATGTGCTGGTTAGGACTGTAGGTGTTCTGTTCACCAGCTCCGTAGTCTGTCTCCAGCAAATGACTTTTCTGACCCTCAGTTTCCCCATGTGTAATAACAGACCTTGTGAAGCACTTCGCTGTGCATTGGTTACCAATTTGTCTGAGTCTGATCAAACAGCCCTGCATCCCTGCAGCATACACTACACACACAAACATGCATGTGCACGCATACACAAAAGTTACTTGAAATAGGGTTATTATTTATAACTAGGCAGCAGGGCTTAACAAAATCCTAGGAATTGTTGCCAGCCAGTCCTCCAAGGCTCAGAAAAGCTACCCAGAGTGGACTGAGCCTCTCTGTACTGCACATGCCCAACTCATACAACTGGGGGAACCATTCTGGGTTTTATACCCTAAGGCAATAAGACTTGCTGAGCTAAAGCATTAAAGGACATCCAGTTTCTAGGAGGAGAGGGGGTTGGAACAGATACTGGACTGTGCTGGCCAACTGTTCCCTTATCTCAGGATGTTTCATTCCCATCACATTGTGCAGTTATTCAAGAGAACTATAAGAACAGTAGGAGAACTAGGCCACTCAGCTAACTGTGTTGCTGATCTTACGTCATAGGATTCTTGTAAGGATTAAATGAAATACTCAAATTGGAAATGCTTAACCCAGTGCCTGGCATATAACAATAAAAACTAGTTATTCTTTTTAGTAAATTATGGAAAGGCCTATCTATAGGATCACTGCATGGGGACTCTG